ATTAGTTCTGTGAAACAAAGCAAAACCAATGTTACACCGTGTCTACGGACGTGAGCGGCGCGGCGCAACAAATCCCCCACAGAAAACTGCTGCCTGGTTCGATTTATGACGTGCTGACACAAATTTCAAATGGTTTTCAACAGTCGTTTGAGCGCGTCCAGTGTAGGCAGACTTTAGCTGTTGTAGACACGGTGTTACTCACCTATTGAGAAGAAACAAGCAACCTCGGCGTCCGATCGCAGGCCTCCGCTCCTTGAGTTCTCTCCAGCGCTGGAAAGCTGAGCCGATATTTACACGGGTCCTACTTCTTGCCTTATCGTTCCGCAGATGTTGTCCTCTTTTGTTTTTTATCTTTCTGTTGCTCGGCTCGGCTAATGTCAGTCCCATGCACTGAACGCGCTCTCCTCCAATTCACGAGTAGACACGCCCCTTATTGCTGATTGGCTACAAGTTTGTTTTGCGATTCGGCCCGAATCAGTTTTTAAAGTGTTTTTGAAAAATCACTTACTCTGCCTTTAATGAATTGGTTGAATACATTTCTCAAATACTTACTCATTAAGACAGTCGCTTCCAGCTGATTAACTTGATGTATCATCGAATTTCACCAACATTTCATATTTGTATATTCAACAAATGTAAAATAAAATTAAAATTATTTATATCACCATTATTTATGCAGTAATTTTGCAACGTAAATGCATTCATGTTACCTCTAAGCTTCATTAAACAGTCTGTGTAAATCTATCTAGGGCTGCCGTGATTCGTCGATTCTACTCGACTATTCGATTTTTAAAAATCCTCGACTTCATTTTACCTGTGTCGACTAACCAGCAAAATACCGGAAGTGGCGCATATCACGGACGAGAATCCATAAAACACATTATTAGACTGATTTCCAAGGCCTCATGATATATTAAACCCGCTTAAAAATTATAATTAAGCATAACTGTGAATGCGCTACGATTTAATTAAATAAGTATATGTGATGCAGTTATAGGCGTGTGGGTTATGTATGTGCGTCATGTGCGTCTCACAGCGGCTCCGTTCACAGTAAATGCCGTTCTGCAGGAACTGTTATCATTTACATGTGTGGAGCGGCTCAAACTCCATCTGTGCATGCTGTTGTGAGTTTGGGTTTATTATAATGTTCATCTGGGAATACAACGTGTGCCATTTCATCAGATATGGAAGGTAAATCATTTATAAATCCACGCAAACACAGGAGAAAACATCATTATCTTGCGGTTTCAAAATAAAAGCTCAAATCCTCACTCTGAGTTTACACGTTTTGATGTCCACATATTCATTAAATTACAGCGGCTATAGCATTTCTGTCATAAAGAAATGGCCAAATATTAAAGATTAAGTGGACATTTGAATTAAATGATGCTTGGTAAATATTAAAAGCATTAGATCGCACAGTAGTGTGTAAAAACAATCGTCAGGCCGTTGGCGCTCCCTGCAGGCCTTTGTTGTAATACGCACTGTACATTAGCTCTATTCACTGATCTATAATAGATTATATCATATTATTTTATAATTATATCTAGATCAGTGGCTCTATTACATTATAATACAGAATTTTAACAGTTTTGTTCAATAAAACTATATGATTTCTTGCTTTTGCTACTTTATTTGAACTAATTATTATTGCCTCATTGCTATTATATGTATTTTAAGTAAATTTAAAGGCTATTGTTCACTTAACCTACATCTATTTTTATTACCACAAAAATTAATTATAATATTTTATTATTAGTAGACTAGAACACGTGGATGTGTTGTCATTCTTACACTATAATACTGAACTTTGATTTCAGTGATTTGGACTATGAGATGGACACTTGCTTCTTGCACTCTATGTTGCACTTTTGCTTTAAAAAAGGATTTCATAGAAATGTGGATTTCATTTGGAGTTTCACTACTGAAGTCCACTGTTCATTTTTTATCATCATGCTGGAGATGTCCGTTTAAATCTGTTGTTTACACATTTCTAAGAGTACTTTTAATACATAATTTTTAATAATAATAACATTTTAACAATAACAATACTTGATTCTAGTGGACTCTAAACATTGCATTTATTTAATGTGAAAACCCAACTGTTGGGGTTAATTGAAACATTTTTCCCCCTTTGTAGTTGCACTCACAGCTGTAATGAACAGAAGCCCAGAACATGTGGATATATTGACATTAAGAACATGCTGACTTTCTCAGACTTTTGTAATTTTGTTTTTATTTAATTTTTATTAGGTTTGTTTACATTTTTACTCTTTTAGTTTTACATTTCGTCAATGGCTTGTTTACATTCATACTTTATGGTACACTACTGAATGGCAAAGTTGCAAGTCTAATAAAATGTTCTTTAAAATTGTATTTTTTTTGTGGGAAATTAATCGTTTAGATTAATCGTTAAATTAGTCAATAGATAAAAAAACAAGAAAACAAAAAAAAGTCATTAGTGGCAGCCCTAAATCGATCTAATTTTATTTGCTTGGTAACAGTCCTATTTGTACCTTATTCTAATTGAATTTATTGATAAAAGCTCAGAATTTGACATTAAAGATGAGGCATGCTCTTAAGGTTAGGATAAAAATGTCCATTTATAGAAGCAAAAAATGCCCTGAAAATCAATTTAAGAGGGCAGATATCACAAATGTAAGTAAAAACTAACAGAAAAAACTAAGAGAACATAAGTATACCGATTCAGAATAAATGACATTTACGCTACAAAAAATTCATTTTTTCTTTCCAGACAAGAAATTGTTCTTTTTTTTTACTTGGGACATGATGAATGACTGATTAACTTGCCCAGAAGACAAGCACATCAAGGCTTAATATTGAACCCAGCTTCAGTTAAACCAAAATACATCTCTAAAATCTAATGTCACATCATATTTCACAAATCTGCTAATTTTTTTTTTTACAAATGTTAAATGAGAATAATTATCCACTGTAAAGTGTACCAGCTATTGAGAATAGTACTAGCAGCTAATCAGACACCACTAGTACCGAAGGCATAGCACTGGGTCTGCTCTTTTCCACTGCTTGCTTACATGTGCACCGAGTAAACATGCTTATAAAGCTAGAGGATATGAAAAAATTGTCAGTGGTGCCTTCTCATCCGTTCCAGCAACTGACAACCTGGAAAAACTCTTGGTATGGATTTTTGCAGATTAATTCACAAAATCGATAAAAAAAAAATCTTAAGCACACACCCCAAATTGCTTACTGATCACAATGCAACTAAAGTAACCAATCACAAAAATATAAATGAAAGCCTCTGTCTGATGCACTTTTGTATAATTGTTATTGAGTTTAGTAAAGTCAAGTCACACATCAATCACTGATTTCAGTACCCATATGCAGAAGCAGTGTCTGGGGAAAGTCTCACCTTCTGCAGTGCCTCCTGCTGTTCCGGGGTGAGGGGCGGCAGGCCGAGCTTCGAGGCCATGCTCTGTCCATTCTCCATCATCAGAGCCTCGCCTCCCTGCACAGAGCACAGGCATCTGTCAGGCCTGATGAATGTAAGCTGCAGCGAAACTGCACATCTACTCAATGCACACACTGGGCTGCAATACACAATGGACAACTTACAGCTTTAAAACGGTCTAGTTTAAGAGCAAACTCAAATTACATCAGTCATATAATAAATCTGGATAATACTTTATTGAACAATAGTTGCAACTTTACAGATCTTCTTTATGCACCAAGAGCTTGAAACACTACAAAGAGAAAGGAACATTTTTAAATCGCATTATATGACCCCTTTAAGTGAATAATTTACTTTTTTTAATGCATAAAAAGTATAAGGATTAGAGCTGGAAACAAGTTCTCATATTTACATTACTGCAAATGATTCTAAATCATTTTGAGCTTGCTCTAAAACAGATTTCTATATTTCAGCACATGTTGGATACCTTCAGTTTAGCGCAAGGCTTTGTTAAAGACATTTTACACTGAACTGAAGTGTAAACATTTTACATTTACATTTAATTAACAGGCTTCTCACATTATGATAGGGAACCATGCATTCGTACCACATGGTGACTTCTCCCCTCAGTGGAAACACTGAGATGTCGGTCACTGGAGGACCATATACCCTTAAGAGTGCATATGCTAAAGTAAGTGAGCCCTCTTATTTAATACTACACAAGAGAAAACTTAAGTACCTTTGCTCAAATGAACTCCAGAGTGGTGCACTGTCCCCCCCCCCTTAAGGAGGTTTGAACCCAAAAAGTTCTGCCATTGGCTTTGGAAATATAGTACAGTCAAGAGATATGTTCTACAGCACAGACAACACAGAGAGAAACGACAAAGAAAAAAGGAAAAGAAAAACACAAACCTACTTAGAACAAGAGAACTGGATAGGGAGACAACAATTTGAGATCACTGACATCCAAATCCAGGGGGGAAAAAGCTGCCTTTAAAATGTTTAGGACATGAAGCCCTGGGTGAAAAACCTTACGGAAATATATTTTGTACACATCTGTTCAGTGGCAATGATTCTTAAAAAGAACAGTTCACCCAAAAAAATGAAGCTTTGTGATTCATGGTCCATTCACAATAAGGATGATGACTATAAAACTTTAATAATAGTTCTGATTGTATGACAATAAGGACACACTACAACTATAACAACATTGTTGGTATAACTTTCATAATTTTTTTTGACCGAACAATAACCTACAAAAACATTACCTAGTCAATGTTAACAGGAAGTAATCCCACTGACTAGGAGGTAAAAAAAAATCAGCATTCAATGAAGTATGAGGCCCCGTCCACACGAATGTGTCCCATACGTTCTCACCGGCCATTAGGCCTTATGTAATGTTGGGATTAACGATACTCAATTCGATACTCAAAAAGATTGCTCGACGGCAATGCACATCTTTCAAAAGCGAATAGTAACTGCAAAGAAAACATAACAGCGTAAAGACATTTAAACGGAGCGTTTAGTTTCTGAACCGTGCAGCATCAGCAAAGTTGATTCAGCTCATGGAGGACAATGTGAGCGGGTTAACACGCTAGCTCATGTAACGACTGAAAAAAGCGAGTGAGCACAGGCGTGTGGTTAACAAACATGGTAATAACGCCGTTAAAAATAACCGTTTGAAACAAATCCTAACAGTTATAAATCAGTCGAGCAGGATTTAATCACTGTGTTTCTAAAAAGACACGCAGCAGCAGGCCAGGGAGAAAATCCCGCTCTCGGTGCGCTAGGCTAGTTAGCCATTCCCCTGTTCTCCTAACTTTTTAAATGAAACCTCTATCCGAAAACACTACTATACACTCTTTAAATACTATTGTGTGTATATTAAGAGAGAAGTTAAACAAAATATTACATTTACCGCTGAAACAGCCACCGCCATAGAGCACACCTTTCAGCGCTAACGTCCACACGGCGAGGAAGACTATGAAATCTCGCGATACCGACCGAGAGAGAGTTAGGTAAGAGGCGCGCAGCTGCAGTGTGGCCGATCAGGCTGTGATTGGAGGAAAGCAAGTCGCATTGAAAAAACAACATTTAATGATGATGTAAGTTAGAGAACACAATAAAACATCATTTCTCATTTTCTTGCGATAATATGTGGCGCCTTTGATAAGACGATCGCAAAAGATGAATTCATATTTCTAATGTAGAGAAATAGCGTAAAAGCCCACACATAGATATTTCAGTTGAAATCTACATTATATATTAGAGCTTTTCTATGCTATTACACAAAGGAAATCAATTCAGCCATATTAAAGTATTAATTTTATAATTTAATGTTATAGTATTCCATGTCACAGTATACAATTTCAACACAAAGAAAAAAAAATAAAATAAAACTGCCCAAAGCAAAAGTCTGGTTAATGTATTTGATTAAAATGAGAAAGGACACCTGGAATTAGGAAGAGTATATTTAAACAATCACGGTACATTCATATCTCTTGTATCTACATACACATTTTTTTACATTGCAAGACATTAGAGTCTTATAATAACACTGAGAGGATGGTGACTTTTTCCTTGACATCTGAATCATTTGAATTTGCAAGAATAAATGGAGATTACAAATCCCTTGTAATAGTTTTCTGAAGCTGCAATACATCCATTGTACAACCATGCCAATATATCAAAAATGAACAATTCTGTAAAAGCATTCCTTTCCTGACATGCACGTATTTTTAAGTAATATTGGGAAGTCAAAGCCATTGGAGAGTACAGTACTGAAAGCATCCCTAACAGATACTATTGCTTTGGACGGCATGGCAACATGGATGTTTTCACAGAATGAATACTGTAAATATGCAAGTGTCAAATACAGGATACTATTTTTGCAATGTTAGGGTTGGGTGATATAATTCAAATTTTAACCCTGTCATTTATATGCATGATACACATCACCAAATAGTAATTAGGCTTGTTACTACACCAAATTGCTATAAATTGAACAATACCTTACAGGTTTCATGTGGTTTTCACCATTTAACCAATAATAATTCCAACTTACAACTACTATGATTATATCAACTTTACCCACATATATTCAGTATACTCATGTAAAAAAAACAATACATATAATATATAGCAAATATGGTATATGCTTAAATATAGTAAGTATAGTATAAGCTCTTATCTGCTAAATGTGACTAAAAGGCACGAAGCAGCCTGACGTTTAGAAGATCTTGAGCTTACCTCACTGATGAAAGCATGGTGAACCAATTCACTAGCCAAATCTTTGGGACTGTCAGCTGAAAAAAAAATGTAAATGTACTTTTCAGCCATTTACACACATCTCATATATTCTCATTTGTATTCTCAAAAAATAAATGCAACAAGAACACATTTGAATGCTGGCTGGCACACTAGAAGACTAAAGATGTATCATGTACAATGTGTTATGTATAAGTATTAACTTTCTATTAATTCCTCAGTTAAACTGCTTAGGGTTGGGTGATATAATTCAAATTTTAACCCTGTCATTTATATGCATGATACACATCACCAAATAGTAATTAGGCTTGTTACTACACCAAATTGCTATAAATTGAACAATACCTTACAGGTTTCATGTGGTTTTCACCATTTAACCAATAATAATTCCAACTTACAACTACTATGATTATATCAACTTTACCCACATATATTCAGTATACTCATGTAAAAAAAACAATACATATAATATATAGCAAATATGGTATATGCTTAAATATAGTAAGTATAGTATAAGCTCTTATCTGCTAAATGTGACTAAAAGGCACGAAGAAGCCTGACGTTTAGAAGATCTTGAGCTTACCTCACTGATGAAAGCATGGTGAACCAATTCACTAGCCAAATCTTTGGGACTGTCAGCTGAAAAAAATGTAAATGTACTCTTCAGCCATTTACACAAATCTCATATATTCTCATTTGTATTCTCAAAAAATAAATGCAACAAGAACACATTTGAATGTTTTAAAATGTACTTACATGGCAAAACATCACAGCTAAGCTGACGGTGAAGCCTGTCATCCATCTTTAAAAAAAGAGAGAGCTACAGAGAAAGAAAGGATAGATGATGCACAATGTCCACAGCTTTTCAGGTGAAGAAGCGAAGCAAAACTAAATGCCAAAAAAATGTAACTCACATGACTCCTTGTGCCTTCCTCATTCGCTTCCAAATGACAGTGGATCTGGACAACCTATATGAAACCACAAGGATTTGGCTATTTAGTGCCTCTTTTCTGTTGCACAAATCAAACACCCCAGGTTTTTAAGAGGACAGAGTCTCATGGAGTAATAGAAAGTTTGAAGAAAGTAAGTGAAATACTGTTTGTACATGGATGAGATACATAGATCACCATTTCTGGGAAATATTTAAACAGACGTCAGCTTTTTCAGATTGACCCTTGCTCATCATCTGTATCAGATCTGGACACACTTTCCATCAGTCTGCCAACATTTGTTAGACCACTAATTTTTGCTTCAAAAATGACGACGCAGAGTTTAAAATGAATTGTGAATCTTCTGAGCAGTGTTTATTTACACAAACTGTGTGAACGAACTGATTGACTAACTTGAATCAGTCTTCCCAAAGCTTTATTTGAGGCAAAGCATCACTACTCGGGAGTTAGTAACTCTCAACATTGTTTCTAATATAAATCGTATTCTAACCTTTCTGGTTTCAGTCTCCTGTGGTTCTGGGGTTGGGGTCTTCACAGTCTCCATCTGTTCCTGTGACAAAGAAAGAGCACGGGGGATAGGATGCGGCCGCTGGGAAGCAAAGTTCATGAGGGGATATATGCCGTTCCTGTTTGAGCAGAAGAAGAAAGGTTTCAAATGCTCAAGTATGGAAACAAAAATAGTCTAAATCTAAAATCAACTGATGTTCTCTGTGAATGCCTTCACATCCTCAAGGAATTTGTCCAGCTCCAGAGGAGAAACGTGAGAGTACCTTGAGAAAAAAAAGAAAAAAAAGGAGAAGTACGTCAGAGGAAAGTGAGAAACAATCAGAAAAGAGAATCAGAAACTTCCTTTTTTTTTTTAGAAACTCACTTTAGATGGACTCCAGGTCGGTCACGATGATTAATCTCTGCCATGATGCCATTAGGGTCAATAGATTTAGTTTTCTCTTCCACACAATTCTCAGGAAGGAGATCTGGAAAAAATGAAAATAAGTTGAAGACTTAAACCAAAGAGAAATGGAAATATGAAGGAGCAACAATTTCCTTTTGCATAAATGGGCCATGCATAACATTTCTGTTATGTCTAAGATCAAAAATTTTCTCCACTTAATATGTTGGTTAATTATATTATGATTGACTGTATGAAGATTTCAATTGACTCTTTTTGTATATGATTTTTCTTTCCCCCTTCTCTATCTCTTCTGTATATATTTGTCAGTTGCCAATGAAGTAACTGGCCTGTTGTTGATTTATTGATTGATTTAATACACGCGTGTTGATATGTGAGGAATTGGATATTAAAAGGGTTACTCCACCCCAAAATGAAAATTTTGTCATTAATCACTTACCCCCATCCAAAATATCTTAAATTGTGTTCCGAAGACGAACAAAGCTTTTAGGGATTTGGAACGACATGGGGTAAGTGATAAATTTTTGGCTTTTTTTTTTGCCTTTTATAGTAGTGAGACAGGAAGCAAAGTGGGAGAGAGAGGGGGGATGGGATCGGGAAAGGTCCGCGAGCCGGGACTCGAACACGGGACGCCCGAATGCAATGGCGCTACATGTCGACGCGTTGCCCATGAGGCTATCGGTGACGACAGGGGTAAGTGATTAATGACAAAATGTTCATTTTGGGGTGGAGTAACCCTTTAAGATGAACAGTTTCAAAAGAACACAGAGGAAGGTCCTGCGTGACCAAAACGTTTGTTGATTTTAAAATGCACTGAGCACTTTTTTGCACTTTGTAATAATAAAGAAGATTGCTAGTATCTTGGCATGTAATCCTTTTTTTTGGATATACAGCAAACACATTTCAAGGATTGAGTTTTTTGCTCTATGGTGGAATTTAAGATCAAAATTAAAGCATTTCTACTCGTGAGGACTCAGCAAGGGATGAACTTACACTGGTTATTGATAAAGCAGTGCGCAGCAAGCAGTTTTAAGGAGTGGACCTCAAATAACACTCTGTGGAACAGCAGGTCATGAGCTGTAGGTCTCGTCTTGGCTTCTGTGAGCACACACGACTGGATAAATTCCTGTCAGTGTAAGTGATGAAGGCATTACAGTAAACCCAAAAAATTCAACAGAGCTGTATTAGTTATAAACATACACTTAAAGTATTTTACCCTCATGAGAGGGTCCTCGAGTGATTGTCCAGCATGATCAATGGCCTCTTTCGAAACTGCAGTCTCTCCATTGGCCTGGATTTCCAGTACTGCCATCTAAAAGTGAGTGGGGAAAACAAAATTAAAAGTCATACATAATGTTGTTCTTTTGTACTTACTATAATCTGCTATGAGATTTGTAAATTATTCCATTCCTTTTTTACTCACAATTTGTACAGTGTCCCAACTTTTTTGGAATTGGGTTTGTAGATTGTTAAAGTAATACTCAGACCTCCAAGGCACAGATGCCAAATGAAAATATATCAATGGCGTAGTCATCTTCAGCAACTTGAAAAAAAGAAAATAAAGAAATGTCATGAAAGTTAACTTATTTCTATTTTGCATGTTTCTAATGTATTACAAATTATAAGCAAAACTATATATATATATATTTTTTTTAAATCCTACAGCTTTCTTTTTATGCCCAGGTTTAATTGAAAAATATTCCAGATATTTTCTAGATTTCAGATTTTTTTCCAGATTGAGAAAGATTATAATATGGTAAAGGCATCGGATACTCACTGCCATACTCCGGAGCAAAGAAATGCTGGTTCCGCATTTCATCTCGATGTTGATGCACATTACCATGAATCGCCTCAGCAAATACTAAGGGAAACACACAGCATTCAAACTCTATATATAACATTATATATGAATGGAAAAATTATTGCCAGTAAACATACAAGATCTCCAGCACATGGGCTAGAGTCCAAAATAAATATTCTGAACGGGCAATCATTTATGTCTTAGATTGTGAAAGCTGACAAGAAATATTACAGTACATTACATAACTGCCACGATTTTGGGCCAATATACGCAAAGCATTGTTTAAGGAAGGAAGAAAAGAAACAGTCTAAGTACAGTCTGTGTTTTCTTTCTGATGAGATAACCAAATTCCTGTGCACATGGCATAGAGAGCTCAGAATGGACTTACCGTTAACAAACAGCCTGTGCCAAACTGTAAAAGAAAGAAGAGACATAACTTTTCTAAAAACAGATATTCTATGTTAAATATAATCAAACATCAAATCTTTTTGAGTTAAACCTTAAATACAAGAATTAAAAGACTACTGTCAAACCTGAACCGATCTTTATGAGACCATTGTGCTGGATAAAGATGGTGTCACAGGTCAGGTTACCGTGAATAATAGGTGGATCACATGAATGCAAGTAACTAAAAGACAAAAAAGATAAAACATCAGTACTTGTATTCACAAAAAAAATCCTTCGAAACACACTGAAAGTTTAAAAAATCCATACACAATTAAAAAAAAAAAAATTTAATTTATAAGAGAAAGTTTAAACTATAGTAAAATAATTATTTATATATACAGCTGAATTGTGCAACTTCTAGTGTCATGAAACATAATTGTCCCAAACTTTTTTTCCCAAACACTACCCTCATCTGTCATTGGCCAAACAAAAAGACAGCCCCGCCCCCAAACTCACACCATTGGCTGAGTCAGTGTTGCTATGCTGGGTTGGTTGAGATGCTCAAAGAAACAAAGAAATGTTTTGATAGTGGCACAGAGTCACGGAGTTATAGTTGTCTCTGTATATTAAGCTGGGAAAATGTTTTTATTTTACTTTTAATGTGCAGATGAGTTCAGGAGATGAAGCTAAATCCTCAATGTCCTACCTGAGTGCAGAAAGTATCTGCGTGCACCAACGCTTCCATGCCTGAGACATACAGATAGTACCAGTGTGTTATGATTTTGTCATATTTCTGCCAGAAGGTGGCATTGTCCTCTAACTTTTCTGCATGTAGGGTTTTCCGTTTCTATGATTGATGAAACATCGCACCTTCACATTCATAGTTTTGTGGTTTTTCTTGGTCTTCTTCAAAAACTGCTTGAGACTTCCAGATGACATATATTCAGTGATAAAAATCACCTGTGTGGCACGAAATGAAAGAAAACGTGAATGTCTGAATTTAGGGTAAAGTTCACAGAGGCGTTCATTTCTATCAGGTGTGCCTTGCGTCTCACCCTCGCTCTGCTCTCGCTCATGTCCAACCAGTACTTGTGAAACTTCACAATGTTCGGATGCTCCACCTGCATCAGGTTCTCAAACATCTCCTTTATCCGCTCCTGCATAACACAAAGTACATCAACTGTTGGTTTCACATTTCAAGCATTGTTTCGGTCACCATACCAGCATGATTGATGACACTCCAATACAGTAACATTTCACAGATATTTGTGGTGCAGCATACTAAGTATCCCACCCATAATATCGATGTTGGAAAACAAGCATGGTCCTACCTCAAAGGACTTGAAAACCTTCTTGTCTGAAAACTGCACTTCGTTCCACACCACTTCCACCCCCTCTTCAGTGTCCATGGCCAAGTACGCACTCTCAATGCCTGGGACATTTCCCTGACTGACCTAAACCAGAAAAAAAAGGACATCGAGAAAGAGGAAAGGGTGAAAGTGAGTTTAGCACTCCAGACTCTGCCAAGTTCAAACAAAGTACCATTTAGCCAGTGATATCTGCAATATTTACTTCTCGTTGCACAACATTTTACAGTGTTTGCAAATGTGATATTTTAGTATCAACTTCTTGGTATTGTTAGTACAGGAAATTAGTATTTCTGTGAAGGAGGAGGTATTTCTGTGACACCCCCTTTCCGCCCCCTTGCTCCACAACTCTCCCATGGTGCACGTTGTGGTTTGGGCTATGTGGAACAAGCATGACAACACTGACTTTGAATGGCCTGTAAATTCTTGTCTGGTTTTTGTCTTTTGAATGCTGTAAATTAAGCTAAAAGTACAGAAACTGCTGTTTGCTCTCCAAACACTTCAAGTCTCCACTTTTTTTTGGGACAAAACCAGTCCTTTATTATCACAACTGTCTAAAAGAAAACAAACCACCCAGCATTTTCATATTTTGATTTTCTATATTTATAGGCTGAATTTGCTCCCCTCCCGCTGATCGGTGAACTCAACTATGTGTTTTGGTGACAGACACAACATGATCCAGTCACGCTGAGATGCAGCTGCCCTCTAAAAGGCCTTGGATTCAACTGTATCTCAGATTTAAAAACATATGACTACAAACTGATAATACTGTTTGCTATGCTTCAACAAAGAGCTTCTTAATTGGTCAGGGCGTTCAGGCACAGTAAAATATGAGTAGAACAAGTTGTCGATGTTGGAAAATAATTATAAAGTTTACTAGGCTAAATTGTATCAAGTCAAGTAGCAGTTCAAACACAAATGATGTGCATGATTGATGATAATATGCCAAAGTCTAATTCTATGAAGGTTTATCCTGAAAATGAACAGTTTATTTTGGTATTTTAAAACACACTCACTTGTCAATCGCCATTGTGTACCAGGCTCAGAGGTTGAATAGTGGCCATTAAAAGGATAAAAAAAAAAACAAGTTTTATGACACTTTTACTAATACTGGTCGAGCAAAGCAAAGCTTGGTTACGAAAGACCGAGAACACAAGGACACTAAAAGCATGTCCAATTACATTTGGAGTTAATTAATTCCCTAGATGCCACACAAACAGACAAGGAATGTCTTTGAAAACAAATAAAAAAAACTTTCCATTTCCTCTGAGAGCCAGAGAGCACCCTTCTACCCAGCTGGGGTCTCCAAATTAGGTGTAATCACAGGCGGTTGAGCCTGGCTAGTACTGTACCTCAAAACACTAGTGACGCACATATAGGATGCAAAGATTTATTAAATTAAGATCTAGTGCATTTAAAAATCAATGTTCAACATCTTGTGTATAAAAAAAGCCCACAGATATGTAATGCGTCAAACTACCCACAAATGAAGTAAGAAGCTGTCAAAATAATGTAGTTGTGGTGTTCATTTCTTGGTTTCAGGGGCCAGTTGCATATAAGGTTAAGACTAGTCTTACAAGTTAGTCATCAATTTTTTTCTTTAAAACTGGTCATCATTTTTTAAACTCAGTTACATAAAAGCATACATTAGTCTAACTTGAATCCCAAAATAAGACTGATTACCCCTTGGCTATAACAGCTAGTTGGTCAAACTTATACTTAAGACATTGTCTTAACATAGAGGCTAAGTTTATGCAACTGCCCCCTGGTCTCTCTTGTGTGAGTGTTTATAAAGAATGTTTTGAGAATAAGTTGTTAGAAACTCTAAATACCAAATAACAGGGAACACTGTGCCCATAAAACCAGCTGATATCATTTCATGTTCAGGGCTTCGAAATCCTTTCTGACATGAACCCACATAACAGCTTTCCCAATGAAAACAAACATTACGATCTTCATTTCCTGCTCTTTCATTCCCTATCCTGCGTCTGTCACAGATACGCTTCCAGCTGTATTACCTCTTCCTGCATAATGTATGAAATCGAATAAGTTGTTCTTCTGTGGAACTACTTTCATCTCTGGAAACCTAACTGTGCATGCTCAGGATATATAAGGGACAACTGTCAAACATCTCTGAGGATTAACAAAGAGAAAATGTGAATGGATTTGCATGCATACCTGGACGAATTAGCACTTTATATGCAGGCACAGCTTTCCAGCTATACAATTATCATCATGAAGAATTCAGCATGCTAACCCCAGATGCCTACTGGCCCCTCATACACAACTAAATGTCTTGTCTGGGTACAAATGCTAAACCTCTCTCTATGGGGCGGCTGCTTTTGTGATGGAGAAAGGTGACCTGACACCACAGTTTTAACTGACATACAGGAGACACTCATGTCTGCACTTTGCTGTAATGTTGGAACAAAATCGGTTGTGTAACACATAGAGACCCAATTTCAGATGTGAAAACAAGCAACACTTGTAAGCTAAACTGTCTCACTCAAGTCCACCATATAGCCTGAGGGCACCCTACTTAGGGGTCTGGAGGTGGAGATGAACACAAGACATGACATGAAGGAGATACAAATGTGCTGCTCCGCATTCTTGTGGTAAAGTTCTCTGAAAAAATTAAGGAGTTGCCTGAAATGAGCAGAAATGCTGGTATTCTCGTCTGTTGTTCACCGCCCAACTATTGAAATGGAACACAAGGCACTTCAATCTACAGAGTGTTTCATGCTATCAATTTATGAGGTGTCAGAAATGTTTAGATTCATTCAATATACAGTCTGGGAACCAGCATATCGTATGATAAATACATTAAATTTTTTGTGCAGATCTTATAATTAAATAAAAATAGATAGATAAATAAATAAATAATTGAATGTTTATAAATATATTAATAAAAGATTTGTTAATGTTGAAAACTGATATTTTTTATATTTTAATGTACCAAGTTAGAAGATTCCCTATAGCCTATAATTTACAGTGTTTGCTGAAGAGAATTACTTCCATATGCAAGCAAAACAGACCTTATAACTGACATATACTCAACTGAATAGAGTCAAATAAAAAAACGATTCTAGAGCTAGTGAATGGATCAGAATCTAACTGAATCGGGAAATCAGTATCAATACCCAGCCCACATTTTACACTTGCCCAAACAATTAACACAATTATTCCCCGCTTATCAATGTACAGTGTGAAATCTTTCTGAAAGTCTTACCAGGATTAATTGCTAACCCAGTTAAATATGAACAGGTAACCGCAGGGTCACATTAATCCTGGTTTAAAAATGACTATGGTTAAACATTTCCCATTTAGTTACTGGGAATTAGAAATAGTCAGGGTGCAATGAATCACAAATACAGGACAAGCATAAAAACCACAAATCTTCATAAAATGTACCTAAACACTCTGAGCACGTTAACAGTTTGACCTTCCTGAGATTCACACACTTGGCAGTCACTCAAAAGGAGTACTCAATGTGATAATCCTACGAGTAAAGTTTCACACTCATCAAGCATTCATTGCATCCTCTACAAGCTTAAGCTTTATTGTGTAACTTTTCCCAAAGAAAGAGTGCTGACAGAGGCATAGTATTTTCAGCTCTTGCCTCAGGGCATCCCTCTCCCAAACCCCTCAACCTTTTATCCTGCATTCATGTATGAAATAAAGAATTGGCAAAATCAGCATTAAGTGATGAACAGCTTTGCTTTTGGGTAAACCGGGAAAAGTAGATGTGTTTATGGAAGTAGGAGGATGAAATGTAAGCCAGGAATTTAAGTAGTCTATAAGGCAGGTCTATAATTGCACTCTTTTATAAATATGTGGTCAGTTGCTGTTTGTGATCTGCAGAAAGGTATTGTTCCGTATGCCAGAAGCCCAAATACAGGCCAGTGGTGACTAATGCACCACTTTATTACATAAACCGGAACATTTTAAAAGCCACATCACGGCAAGTGCGCCACTAGGTTTGAACATGACTGGCACTTTTGAAGTGAGGAACTGTCACAGCAAGCCTGTAGGATCGAAGTCTGCTGCATTTTCAGTTTTGATAGCTCTGGTTTGAATGAGGGGTTAATGCGAAGAGCGATCAATGCTGATGGACTTGGAAGGATCATAAACAAAGAACAGTGCAATATGTAGCAGGCGACATCAAATGACTTTGCAAAAAGAGAAGTAGGGAGAAAGACGATGAGAGAAAGGTAACCAAAGAGAATAACCCAGAATAAAAGCATGATGCAAAATAGCAAAATAGTGTTAGTCACTACATTCACTACTCATGAATGCCCTGCATTGTGATGCTGGAGATGTGGGAAGCCATGGTGTGAACGGACTGAAAGCTTTGTCTCCTCTTCTAGCGGTTCTTTTTCTTCCTCTAATAGCTTTTGCTTTCTGTCGCAAAGTTCTGAAAACTAATATTTTGCAATGTTGTGCCAAGAGAAGAACACCTGCAGCAACCAAACTAAATCTATCCAGCTTTGATAAGATAAACAAGTAGTTTATACCTAACTTTTTGGTTGGTTAAGGGACCAGCCTGAATACAACAATCACAAATATTAGACACAATCTTGTCTTAAAATAAACTAAACTCATACATAATAGCAGTCCTGGTGATAAGTGAATAGGGGACCGAGCAAAGTTCTCCTATTACATGTGACACATGAATTTGGGTATACTGAATTAAAGGAGTGTCTTTACTTGTGACATTCTAAAAAAAGAAAAAGGAAAAATGCCTAAATAAAGCATGCACACACTCACACACACACACACACACACACAAAATGGCACAGTGTAATCCATATATGAATCAAAAATACCATCTGCTCAATGTCAGTTCTTTGGAAACACCCAGTACATGATGAAATATCAAGGTCAAGATCAAGTAAACATAAAATAAAGTTCTGAAAACTAATATTTTGCAATGTTGTGCCAAGAGAAGAACACCTGCAGCAACCAAACTAAATCTATCCAGCTTTGATAAGATAAACAAGTAGTTTATACCTAACTTTTTGGTTGGTTAAGGGACCAGCCTGAATACAACAATCACAAATATTAGACACAATCTTGTCTTAAAATAAACTAAACTCATACATAATAGCAGTCCTGGTGAT